GAATATCATTTTCTTTTTTCCCCATTTTTTCTATAATTTTTGGAAAATTTAGGACGGGCCTCCTTGAATCTGCCACTGTATCAGTGGCAGATATAGGAATTTGAAATAGAGGAGGCAAGGGACACACTTTCACAGATTGATGGTCTATAGCACCTCAGCCCCACTATAGTTGGGGCTGAGGTAAGAAAATTTATGATTATGGCACCGCTAGATCAGTGCTTTCCAACCTGGGGTCCGCGAACTCCTTAGGGGTCCACGAAAAATAATTGGGGGTCTGCGAAACATGTGGGGGTCTGCAAGAATTTTGGGGGTTACTGATGTTACGTAGTATTTAGAATTGTATTCACTTGATTAATATATTAAAATTTTGGGGTTTTTTTACAATAACGTGTATTTTTTTTTATTTTTGCAAGTACTGTAGTTTTCATTTCACGTGAAATGAAAAAGCGTATACTTATAATTTAGTATATAGGAATACACTTTATTTAACATTAGGTCTATCAATAAAAAAAATACAGTTAAAAATAAAAGAACTCAAGGAATGACAATAATGAAGGTGGTGGTTTAATGAGGAAAATCGTAATAAAGGTTGGGGTTTAATGGGGAGAAGTGTGCCGGGCGGAGTGCACGGGAGAGGCGTTATGTGGGGGTGAAATTGAAATGCAGGAGTATGACTAGCTTTCACTCTTATTGTAATGACCAGTAAACCATTTTTGTTGTTTTTTATTATGACAAACCTTTGTTTTTTATTGATTTATTACCTTTTTTTTATTGATTTATTAACTAGTGAACGTTTTTTTTTTATATTATGAATTGCGAACCCCCCCCCCCTTTTTTTTTAATTATGAATAGTGAACCTCTTTTAGCGATTCTTTTATGAATAGCGAACCTCTTTTTTATAATGAATAGCGAACCTCTTTTTTTTTTTATTATGAATAGCGAACCTCTATTTTTATTATGAATAGCGAACCTCTTTTTTTAAAATAATAATAAATAGCGAACCTTTTTTTTGTATTATTATTATAAATAGCGAACCTTATGAATAACAGTCCTTTATTTACATTATGAGTAGCAAACCCTTTTTCTTGATTATGACTAGCGAACCTTATGCACTGTGATCCTTTTAATAAATTATGAATAGTGACCCCTTTTATTGATTATGACTAGCGAACCCTTATGAAGGGCGGTCCTTAATTTTTATGAATAGCGAACCCTTTCCTTCATTATGAATAACGAACTTCTGGTATAGTGTAAGAATGTTATGAATAACGAACCTTAATGAATAATGAACCTTATGAATAGCAAACCGTCTGACTAGCGAGCTTGACCCGGTAGGCCTAGCCTACTCTTGAGGTGAAGCAGACGCAAGGTTTGCATTATCTCCGTTTGTTTTATTTCCATTTTTGATACATAGCCTATTCTGATGTATAAAATCCACCAATAAATGGAAATATAATAAAATTATAGTTTATAGGCCTAACCATCGAATCGTCTGCTATCTGCTGATCATGTTTATAAAATACACAAATAAATGGAAATATAGTTTTAATAACATTAAATAGGCCTATAAACTAACTATAAAAAGAGTAGAAAAGAAGAGAAGAAAAACACTTCTTGTCACTTGGCCGGGCACTGCAAGAAAGAATTTTAAAAAAAGTTTACACTCAATCCTTTGTACAATATATTATCGACCTAGCTAACTAGCTCTCTACGACTTTTGGTTTGGTTAGGAGCCGACTTGTTAGAGGGGACTTGGTTAGGGGCGACTTTGTGCGGGCGACTCGGTTAGGGCGACATGGCTAGGGGCTGTCTCTTGACTTGACTGGCATTCATTCATACAGTAAGAACCACAAAAAAAAAATGCACTGTATCTCAACTGTTGGCGTTAAACTTAAGAATTCGCTTGAGGATAATATAAAAATATATAAATGTCTTTTTCAATTTAAAAGAAATTTTTTTTCAGTTTCCTCCATTTCTTGATACTTATTTAGAAGACATGAATCGTATAATTGTATTTTGCTTATTGCCGGAAGGTTATTGTATTGCATTGTATTGTATCTCAAACACCTGCTGTATGCTTCACTTTTCACTTTTTATAACACAGCGCCATCATCGTTTTCATTTTAGTATCTATGACAACCAATGACAACAAAAACAGAGTGAACCAGCATCATGGCATGGTTTGTTTGAATTCGCAACAACACAACACGAGCTGATCGTACAGCCTAACTTAAGAACAGAAACTATCTAAATTAAAGGCGTGCATTAAAAATCACTGTAATTGTCAGTATGTCAGCTGGAGGAGGAACACAAGGTACAGTACAAAATTATCGGCCTCACGAATACAAACAAAAAAAAGGGTAGGCCTAGAGAAAGAAGAAGGTAGGTTAGGCCTCCTACCTAGGCCTAGGCCTCGGCAGTAGGGTCCCAGAGAGAGGCCATACTAGTCTTGTAATAGAGAGGACCTAGGCTAGGGCCTAGGCCTAATAATTGTGTATTATTATGATGTAGAGGCCTACTAGGGCCTACATTTTTGTCATATTAATTATGGATGAATCATATAATTAATTGTATATATATATATATACACATATTTTTTAATGATGTTCCTGTTTTAAACTTCAAATTCAGTTGTAATTATGAAATTGCAACATACATAGTGTTTTTGTATTTCATATTTTGTATTTCTATTAGGCCAAATTAAAAAAATTACTTGTTTAGCGTCACATCACAACACAATTTTAGGTGGGGAGGGGCGGTTTTTTTTTTGGGGGTTTTTTTTTTTTAATTCTACAGTATCAGTAATCAAATAAAATGTGTAACTTAAAATTAATCATTTTCAATAGTCCTACAATAAATATTACACCTAGTTGGTAAAATAATTGTTTTAATTCACTTAAAATAGGTCTATACTTGATTAGAATTTCCTGGACTATATTCATTTTTTTTTATAAAAAAAAAATCCCGCCTCTAAACTTTTTATTTTGCTTGAAAATTCAGGTGGGGTGGTGACGCTAAACAAGTATATATTTTTTATTTTGCCTTAGAGTAAAAGTTTTGGATTTTTCACTTCAGATTGGTTTTATCATGCACCAGTTAAGAGATCAGAACATACTGCACCAATAGAATACCCAGCAGTTTCACAGATACCAGGACTAAACAGCTTGGCACAGAATATTGATGATGAGAATGGAGCCAAGGTGGGATGGATTAAAGATACTGATACCAAGTATATTAAGTTGGCCAAGATGGGAGGAAGAAAAGGTAAGGTAGAAAGAATCCATGTTTTGACGCACTCCGTTCTGTAGCTGTCTCTTATACACATCTAGATGTGTATAAGAGACAGATATCATACAGTATCTCTAAACTCATTCCCATGGCCTAAAGAGAGATCTCAACTTTAGTGGCTGCACTTTTTAAAATTCTTAACTCGCTTGGCTTATCTACACTTTGTTTCCTACTATTCACATTGTTTATTCCTATCCGCCATGACTCTGCATAACTATCTCTTTTTTTTCAGTCCAAGGCCATCCTATCTTCCAGATTACATGGTATATGAGGAATTTAATCCGGCAAGACAACCAGATAATATGCATTTTCCAGATAAGCCTAGAAAACCTCCGTACTCATTATGTGACAATTTATCCGCTTTCAAACGAGATGGAGATGCTGTGACGGACAAAACAATCAAATTACCAGAAATTGATCGTCAGTACAAAAAGGGTGTCTTATTCAAAGTGTGCAAGGATACAAGACGATCAGAACCACGCAAGGGACAGCAAAACCAAAGCGGACACCAAACAGGGTAGGCACTGTTCCCTGGTTAAGTATTTTAAGGTATTCTATAGACAAAGAGTATAATACTAAAAGAAAGGCAGTACTAATATTTTTTTCATTAACAGTAGAACCTTTTTCAATTGTCTGGTGACCACAACATTTATGAAAATATTTATGTGAAACTAGAATTGATATTGGAATGGAAATATTTTAAAAAGAAATTTTGTTTATTTTAATATTTATCATTTCATTAACAATAAAAAAAATATTAAAAATCTTGAAAATTAATATTTCGAATATATTGCTATAAATATATTAAAAAATGGGAAAAAAAATGGTTTATTGGATAAGCAAACATGTATTCAAATTTATTAAGTTTAGGACTTTCTTTAATGAAGCTGATATGGTGCATTATGTGATGCTGAAATTGATGTTTATTGCAGGCAGAACCCATCTAAGGAACAAGTTGAATCATTCTCCAAGTTACTGAGTATGGGGTATCAAGATGAGTGGATGAAACAAAGACAAAAAGAATTTATGAATCAACAAAGAACGCAGGAAAACAAAAAGAACAAAGATTCTTCACTAACTAAAAACAAAATTACAACTGAATACAGAGAAGTTATTTGCAAAGATCAGCAGAATGAGAAGCCAACATTACAATCTGTTCATAAAATAAGGCATACAAAAGCCTCAGAAGCAAGGAAACAGAGAGATAGTGAAGATAATAAAGAACTCTTTAAACTGAACAGATTTACGAAAGTTGGACCAAAGGTTAACAGTCATTGGCAAAAAACGGACGACTCATACAGCCGGCAACTCGCTGATGTCAACATTTAGAACTACAGTATTATTGTACTTTGTTCAACAAATTTAAATTATGTTCATAGTTTACATGTGTTCAAATATTTACTCCAGAACCTTATGTAATTATGTGAGCTAAAGACAAAAATTTAAAAAATTGAATTGTATATGATATTAAAAAAAGTTTAAAATCGTATAATTATATTAGTGTCAGATGTTCTTCCATTTAGATCAATGTGTGAACCTTACCTTACTGCTCCTCTCTCATAACTGGGAAGATTGAGGGTATGTGTTTTACTGCTCGGCACTTGGTGTTTGGAAACCAAATTTTTCTACCTTTAAATTTCATATAGGAAATTACTAATTGTAATCTATTATTTTGTAAGTATCTAAAACTCAAAAGTATACTTATGTCTTCCTAAACAAACTCTCATTTCCCAACGATGTATGTTTTCTAAATGTTTTGCTAATAAAGTTTGAAGTTTAAAAACATTTTTATGTACTTTTTCTGTTGCTGTTTTCCTTGCTGACAATAGTTATTCATACAATGGTTTTACTGTTTTCCATCTCATAGTTTCCTGTGCTCATAACTATGTCAAAGGTATATAAATAATTATAAATATATAAAATAATATAAAAATATAATATAAAGGTTAGTCTAAATACACAGTAAACTAAAAATGCTCCTTTTATGCTGTGCAGTAAAAACTACTACAATAGCGACGATGACAACAACATGAAAAATATTTCAATTTCACCTAAATTATAAATTATTTTGGGAAAATTATGATGGTATTTATGATAAATTTCTTGATTAGTGAAATAAAAATTATGTAAATGAACAATTAGCATATTCACACATTTACCAAAAACAGTAGGCTTCATCTTATAACCATCTTGCATGTAACTAGCCTAAATTACCTGATTAGTGAAATATAAATTATGTAAATGAGCAATTAGCATATTCACACACGTACAAAAAAAAACAATAGGTTCAGTCTTCTTATTACCATCTTGCATTCTGCTAAGTTTGAAACCAATTGGACTTCACAAACTTTAGTTAACTTAAATTACCTGATTAGTGAAATATTAATTATGCAAATGAGCAATTAGCATATTTACACACAGAAAAATTAAAGGACTCAAGAATCTACCAGATTTTTTTTTATCTCGCAGATACATTCCTTGCCTCGATTAAAAAAGAAGTAATTTCTCTCTTCATAGATATTTAACCAAAGCTTTTGTTAAGGTTTCGCACTATGTTATAATTTTTTAAATTAAAGCAGTAGGCCATGGTATAAATGGTAGGCCTACTTTACTTTATTGGTTTCGAAGTTATTTTGATCAACGTCAACAGCGTGTAATAATTAAAGGTACAGTTAGTCCTTTGGACACTGGTTACAGTGGGAGTCAAAAATGGGTCATTTTTAACTCCCTTTTATTTGTTGTTTTTATGAATGACATTGTAAATAATATTGAGTGTAATTTAAGCCTATACGCATTGTAGTGAAAGGAAAGTTTCTGAACAAGACAATCATGTTCTAACTCGAATACATGATTTGGCAGCAAAATGGAAAGTGACTTTTAAATACAACCAAGGCATTATTATTTGAGACAGAAAGAAATTATGAATAACAACTCTATACAAGGAATGATGATTTTCCCCTACTAAACGTGTTATCGTATTGTATGCGCAGTACGTTCCCAATATGCTTGCAAACAATCTTTCAAGTAATTCGGGTGGGAATCGAACTGACGACCTCCAGGTAGCTAGTTTTGTGTCTCAACCACTAGACCACCGAGCTTGTGGATCATAGTTAAAAGCTAATTACCAAATTCATTCCGTTGTGTTTCAGAGTATACTACAGCGCAACAATCATCCGCTCCATACCTCACTGGCTGCTGAATCGTAGGAAGTGGTAGAAAGCAGGGCCCTCCTACTACTGTTAGGCATTTTTCGTTTTGACTACGCGACCAGTCTACTACGAAGACGGCAACGCCAAGACACTGTTCGCGTTTTTTTAAGGCGACTACGACAAGGCAGCACACGTACGTAGGCCTACGGAGGGGAGTTAGTCGGCCATGGTTTTATTACCATGGTCCCTTGTCCCTTGTTTTATAATTGAAAAAGGAAATGTGAAAAAAAAACTTCAGTCAAATACTGTATACAAAATAAAAAGTTTCCAGAAAACTCTGAGTGATGTTTCGCTGCTGCCTAGAATAGGCCTAGCCTAGCCCAGCCTAAGTGTCAAAAGAGTCGTTAACCGGGAGAAGAGGGGTGTCAGGCAATTTGCCAAATGCAACGATGATGTACAAATAAATAACAATTTTAAACAGAGGTATTTATATAGCAATTAAGGCTTGATCCACGATGTCATGCCCTAGCTAGCAGCACCAGATAATGTGTTCTCCTCAGCGTGACCACTCACAATTTTTGATATACCCAATGACTGGGTCGAAATTACCAAAGATTCAGCAAAAATTGCCTAAAATTACCCAAGCTTCCTGAAAATGCAATAAAATTTGAAAAAAACGTGTTTTTTTCCCGCATGTCTAGTTTCCCTTTTAGTTCAATTTATAAACCATTTTTTATTGTAATTGTTTGTGTTAATTATTAATATTCATGAGGTGATAATACAGATAGAAAAATACGCTCTCAGTCGGCCAGTGTTATCAGTAGATCAGTTTTATTAAGTAATGCATTAATTAAGTAAGATCAATGGCAACGCAAATCACGAATAAACAATTCTGAACCCATGTTTATAGCAATTAACAGTCAATTAACAATGTTATGTGCACTTCGTTGAGTTTTGCTTACTTGAAATGGACCATAGAGAAAATAGGTTCTATTTTCTCTATGAATGGACTGACATATTTGTTACTTCTTAATTCGTCCTCTGTGACAAAAATATTTAATTTTCTTAGTAAAAATAAAATACCCAAGGATTTCAACGGAATACCCAAGAACACAAGACCAAGTCAAAATACCCAAGATCTTGGGTAAATACCCAAGCAGTGGTCACACTGGTTCTCCTACTGAAATCCACCCTGACAAGGCTAGAGGCTAGCCTAAGCCTAAGGCCCTTTTTTCACTATCCCCTGATTTACCTAATTTTATGTTGTGACTATTCATTCCTCATTTATTGCATGTGTATAAATAGGCCTTCATAAAACATTTAATTACTTACTTGTTTTAATAATTAATTCATTATTAAACAAACAATGCTCGATCGCGGATGCGATGAAAATTGCAACCCCTAACAAAAAAGTTACCAGCATGCAGCGCTTAGTTTGCCAAACAATCCGGTGATCTGATTGGTCAATATTAGGGTAGTCGCCACTACGCCAAATTCAGTCTACTCCCTGGTAGTAGACTGGCCGCGTAGTCAAAACGAAAAATGCCTATTTTTACCAGCACTACCGAGCCTTAACAGTGGCGTAACGCATGTGCTTTCTGGGGCCCAGCCCCATTTCAAATGGGCCCCGGAGAGGCCACAGGCCTCTACTACTACCCAGCCCTATACTACACCTTGACAATACGGTAATTTTGTTGGAATTTTCAAGAAAACTAAAGGTGCTATATTCATAAATTTTCTTACTCAGCCCCAACCATGGTGGGTCTGAGGTGGTATAGACTCTCCAACTGTGGAAGTCCCTTTCTGGCCTCAACTTTCTGGATCCATAGTATATCATTTATTCGTCGTTAAAAACATGTAGAATAACAATGCATATCTAAAATCCGGGTCCTGGTGACCGGGACCCCCAAAAAATCCCCCCCCCCAGTTTCAGAAATACACGGGGCCCCCGGCCCCATCGTTACGCCACTGGGTATAGAGTAGAATTTACAGAGATTAAATACGAATCAAATTTGAGTATGGCTACGACATTGTGGATATTCTACTACTGTGAAGGGGCCCCTCGTCCACTTTCATGACTCGCAACCAATTACTGTACTAAAATTCGCAAGATGCTCGCCAACGGCGCAGATCTGTTTTGAAAGGTGGGAGCGGGGGGAGACAGTCGCGAGGCCACACACATCGCCCATCCCCACGATGGCTGGGGAGAAATTGAGGAAGTAGTACCTCTAGATGGCCGGAAGTAACACTCTAATAATAATAATAAAGTTCATCATCATCACATCACCATAAAAATGAAACGCCAACAAATTTAATTTCGTATGATCTTTTATCAGAAACTTTCAATAACACTTCATTGCATCGAGCATTATTCAAAATTGTACAAGAGTGCGAACTCTAAAGGTGGACCAAACATTTTTGCTCTGATTTCCGGCCCTCTGTTCAAAATGCCATATGCTTTCCCCTTATCCAGCGTATTATTATGTACATAAGACATAAGTAATTAATGAATTTAGACGTCGTTGGTCCATTTTATTTCTTAGCCGTTCTTCAATCGTCTAAGAGCACTGAAAGAGGTTTATTCTCACACGAGCTCCAGAAAGGTTATTAAGTGTGAGAAGCTTTTCATTTTCCTTACGTCTGGTGGCATTGTCAAATGCTTCTCTGTAGTATTGAGGAGATGGGAAATTGTTCTCATACTTTTCAAATAATAATGAAGTCTCCAAAATAGCCTTGGTATCATTTTTAGATTATCCTCATTTGTTCCCCTCAATGTGTGACGTTTCCTGTATTGCTCGCTAATTCTTCCTTATCTGAGCTACTGCAACATTGTATGGGCTAATAGTACCTACCCCTTATAATTAAATAAACTTCACATTATTAAAAAAAAAGAAAAGGCTATCTGGCGCTCCACCGCGGTCTCATTCCTTATTCTCAATTTTAAATTTGCTCAAACTCCCTGATATCAACTCTCTTCAACAATGTATTTTTATGTATGTATGCATCCTCTCACTCCATTTTACCAAAGTACTTCTGTGATATCTTCAAATCTAATTCCTCTCTACACAATTACTGTACTCGAGGTAGATATGATGTATACATTCCCAATCATAAGACCAACTATTTTCCACATAATATTATATTTACTGGTCCTAAACTATGGAATTCTCTTCCTCCCCTAGTTGTCGATTCCATAAAAAGTCATTTTCTATCCAGCTCAAGAAACACATTATTTCTAGTTATTAATATAGTCAACTCCCTTATTATTATTCTTTTTCTTCCTTAACTTATGCTCGGTGTCTTGGTCCAATTTGAACTGTTGCTTTCTTTTTGTTCTTCTTTGTCCGGTTTCCTTGTCCTTTTTCTTTTCCGTTTGTTTTTCGTGTCTCCCTTTTGTCTTTTTGTTTCCAGGCTGACACGTTACAAGATGATTTTTTTCTTGGATCTATGCCTTTTTCCTTTTCTCATGAATTCTTTGTGATCTTGTTTTATATTTTTGTACGAATTGAAAAGGAATTAAATAATGTTACTTTGAATACTTAAATTGAATACTGAAAAGCTCGAAGTTTGTGTTTTGTTTGATTACTAAGTTGACTAAATGTACCGCCCTCACTTGTTTTTAAACACCAATAATAT